AAAATACCCGCCCCCCGTACGCGCGTCCCACGTCGCGATACGGCCCTGTCGCGTACGTACGCGGGCGCCGTACGCCCCTGTCGCGTACGTACGCGCGCCCGCGTCGCCGTACGGCCCTGTCACGTACGCCCACCCGTCCGCGCCCCCGCCCGGTGTACGCCCGCCCGCTGCGTATGCCCGTGCGGTTCGAGTAAAAAAAACGCCCGATCAGGCGAACCCTATTATCCCGTCGCCTCAGCCGCCGCCACCACCACCACCGTCTCCGGCAGTACCTGGCCGAAGGAAAAAAAGTCTCCGGCAGCACGTGGTAATACCGACGCGTACTACGCGACTCGCCAGCAACAACCGCCTACCTAGGTCGGGCAGACGCCGCCACCGTAGTTTCCTCTGCGTGTTGTTTGCCCTCAAGCCTTCGGCTAATCTCAGCACTATTGTCATGTCCGACGAAGGCAACGTGGTACGCGAGCCGCTAGCATAGTGATTTGAATGGCAACGATTTTTGTTGCCATGATGGTACGTGCTATTTTTTATGGATCTTTGATTATATATAAACGTGTATAGATGGAGGCGGAAATCGGATATGACGGTGATGATGGCGGTAGCGAGGAGGGATCACTGTCATTCGATGAAGACGACTATGCACTACTAGGGAAAACCCTAGTAGTAGCATGGGTTTTGAGGCTAGCAGCAGCGCGGGTACCCGCGCTACTACTGTTGACTATATCAGTAGCGCTTTTCTGGAACGCGCTACTATTAGTTAGCTGTAGCGGTTCCCTAGCCCCTCGCTACTGCTATATCTTTCATCATTTTCCCGAGCTTCCTACCCCGTTTCGGTCCAGATACTAGGTACTACTAGATATCAATTTCATAAAGCATTATAGGTACTAGGTAGTACTCCCTCCGTTCCAAATTACTCATCGTGGTTCAAACCACGACGAGTAATTTAGAACGAAGGGAGTACTAGATAACAATTTCATATATAGTCAACATGCATTCTCAAGCAGTACTATGTGATATCAACCATGATCATCATATGTAGTTCTAGATGATATCGACGACGATCATCATATGTAGTTCTAGATGATATCGACGACGATCATCATATGTAGTTCTAGATGATATAGCCACACACACATATGTAGTTCTAGATGATATCGAAGACGATCATCATCCTCAAGCCTAGGCGGTTGGTGTTCCTGATAGTAATTAGGATGGCATGTCCAACACGAAGATTCTTGCCATCGAGGAATCTCTTCCACCCAACCGAGTTTAAGTGTGTGCAACCGTCCGTGTCCACGCGGTAAGTACAGGTTGTGACGGAGCCCCTTGCGGTAAGGCGTAGTCCAGCTGAGCCTTCTTCACCAGGCTCGATACCATAACTCACAGATAGGCTCCTTGCCAATTTCTGAAAAAAACATATCAATTAATAAATAGCCTCGCACGTACTCTTGCAAATAAGTATATATGGATTATCTACACTATTAATAGTTCTTTAGATTCTACACTAATAAGCATGTGATCAAACTCTACACTAAAGCATATCATCGACTAGATTCCACACAACATATCATTGAACTCTACACTAAGCATATCATCAGATAATTTGCATTGTAAGTATAACATACCATATCATGTCGATCAACCATGGCACTTGTCAGGCGGGTCACGAATGGCACCCCGACAAAGTCAGCAAGTGGCGGAATTATGTCCCATAGGTTGCACACCTCCTCCTGGCTCAGCCTCATTCTTTGAGCTATGATGGCTTCATGAAGTGGGTCCTCATCATCTTCATCGAGTGGGTCCTCATTATCTTCATCATCTTCGTCATCTTCATCATCTTCCACCAGATTGATATAAATGACAGCCAGCTTGGGTCTTTCTGCTCTGAAGGAGAAGCTGATTAACTCAACCTCCATAGTGTACGGCCTCACAGGAGCCTCAAATGTCATAGTGTCTCCTGTCAGCTTATTGAATTCCAACCTCACATTGCATGGGACGATCTGTGTAAAAAAAGTAAAATGACACAATGCAGTAATGCCAACACTAAAAATAAAATAGTTGTTACATTTCATATAATATCTTACCGCCGCATGACGAAAACTCGGCTGGAAGTAGATGCGGAACAGCTTGCCAGTTGCAAGGCTGCTGGTGCACCTTGACTTGCACATCGACATGGTGATGGTGGTGGTGGCGCCATTTTCCTAAAGCAATATGAGCAAAGGATTAATGATCCACTTCACATGAAAGAAAAACAGTAGCATGTGATTTTTTGGTTCTTCTTCACTTATATTTTCATAGCTTACTAACACCTTCTAGAATAGAACCAACAGCCAAATGCCAAATCTTCCGCGAGAAGTAATTTGATTCTTCTTCCGTGAGAAGCAATTTGATGGACAATTATAATCCTAAGATCTAGCTAGGTGGTGACAAATCTTCAGAGCTATCAACTAGCATACCAAATCAACTAAATTAAAATGTTCTATAAATCAACTAAATGACCTAGCCTATTAAATCAACCAGCATACTAAATCAACTAAATCAAAATGTTCTATAAAGCAACTAGCCTATTAAATCAACTTGCCTACTAAATCAACTAAATCAAAATGTTCTGTAAATCAACTAAATCAACTAGCCTACTAAATCAAAATGTAGTAGGGAGGAGGGGTTGTGGATGGAGGAGGGAGGAGGGAGAAGGAGGGGCGACTGGAGGAGGGAGGAGAGAGTAGGACGGAGGAGGGAGGGCAGAGCGAGGAGGGGCCGACCGGTGGCGAGTCGAGGGAGGACGGAGGAGGAAGGCGGTACCGAGTCCAGCGAGGAGGAGGAGGTGACGGCGGTGTAGAGGGAGGAGGGTAGGCGCCGGCGGCCGGCGGGGGAGGACCGGCGCGGGGGGTTGAGGGGGAGATCGAGTGAGTGTGAGTGTGAGTGTGGATCGGATAGAGGAGAGCATGGGTGGTGGGAGGTAGCTAGTTTTAGCAGTAGCGCGGTGTACGTAAAGGCGCTACTACTAAACTACCTAGCAGTAGCGCCCTTCTGGTTAACACGTTGCTACTATAACTAGCTTCACGGTGGGGTCGTGGGAATTATAGTAGTAGCGTGGCTTGGTGGTGGCGCGCTACTGCTACTTCTCTTTCAGCAGCGAGTTCTGGTGGAGCGCGCTACTAATAAATTGCAGCAACGCCTTATTTTAAAACTCGCTGCTGGTAAGATCCTGTGTATAGGCTTTTCCCTAGTAGTGATGATGGGGATAATTATATGAGTTTGGATGAGTCTTACAGTGGCAATGTAAGTGGTCAGCATGTTATCAAGCATATTAAATACAAGCATCCGCGATGACACTAACATGTACTTGTTTTACTTCACATAGGTAGGAGGGGATGATGACAATGAGGATATGTATGTAGATGACTCATATGCTGAAAGCGGTAGCCATGTGAGTTTAAAATTATGCATGTTTGTTTAAAGTGACATGACAAACGCTTCAA